TTTGTAATTATTAAAACAAGAAATGACGTGTGAATAAAATACTGGAATTCCCAACTTTTGGACCACCTTGGAAAAAATCGTGATTTGTGCAAGCATAATTTTCACTTTGTCATTGAGTGATTGATATTCCCATCTGTTCCGACAAAATAAATCCATATTTTAATAATTCGCCTAATCGTGATTTGTGCAAGCATAATTTTCACTTTGTCATTGAGTGATTGATATTCCCATCTGTGCCGAAAAAATAAATCCATATTTTAATAATTCGCCTATATTTAATGGGTTGGGTAAGTGATTTTTTATATGGGTACAATCTATCCAAATATTATATTCATTAAAATAATATAATACGATAAAATATAACACAATACATTATGAAACAATACGTAACAACCATCCAAAATAAGTGTTGGTAGGTTGAGTAGTCCTAATAAATGAATTGAACTAATAAATGCATCTTTTTTTTCTTTGAGTTAATGTTCCAGTGGTCTTGGAAAAAACTCTCTCTCTTATATAAAAATAAAGTAATATATATTTTCTTTGCCACCCACTAAACAAAATGGTGAATGGTTCAATTGATAAAGCAGATAATTCGCCACACGACACGGGCAGCATTAATTTTTTGGAGCTTTTTTTTTTTTTTCTTTCTTTCCCTTTTTTTTTTTTTTTTTTTTGTCTTTTTCATTAATGTGTGAAGACTTTTTTTTTTTCCTTCCATTCATTTTTATTTATTTACTAGTATTTTTTATTAATTCAAATTGACTCCTATTCACCATAATTAATTCTTATTTTTTTTCACTTTCTCTTTCACTAATTATTAATCTCTTGATATGAGTGTTGTGTGTTTATTCTTTAATCAAATTAATGAGTACTGAATTATGAACGTGACATAAATATTATTAAGAATATATTATTAGTAGTTTTATAAAAATATAAGTTTGAAAAATGATGAATATTATTATTAGAATTCTTTTAATTTAAAGGTTCTTTGGATCTTCACCGACGTTCTTGCTAAGTAAGATGACTAGGTTGAAACTAAAA